CGACGCTAATCGAAGAATAACGGCCACAGTATAAAGCCCGTAGATATGCAAAAAAACGTTTGGCTCTTAAGCGTAAATATATTCATCGGGCGAGGAAATTAAAAGAGGCGTTGTCAATCAGCCGTAAACTACATACGGATGACGTTAAAAGATTCGTTTCGTCTCGAAGTGACCGGCTCAATCTCACAGCGGCCATCATTAAAATATCACCGACGTTCCCCCGGTAGCCATCACGATGTTCACGGGCAGGCAGGTGCGCAACATTACACAGTGTATGCTACATGTATACAGGTGCACGCAAGATGTCGCACTGGCCTGTTTTTAAATAAACGTGCTCAGAACTGCCCCTGGAGGTTGATTTAGAAGCAATTATTTCTCTCGCGGAAAATTCACTGGTCTTTTGTGCGCGCCGTTGGAGCTCTTTCATCGGGGGGGGGGGGGAAGAGGTGCAGTATGCTAATTTCCGATGACGTCACATCGCGTGTGAGTCAGCAACCGGCCTTTAAATTCGGCCAGCACACCTCTTCCTACTACTACTCTGTACTCTCCACGTAGCCTTAGTAAGTATATAGAACGTAGCCTTAGTAAGTATACGACTAGGGTCTCCTACAGCAACGTGTAACAGGGGCCAGGTAGTAATGTTGTGCATGTGTGCGTTAGGCATATTTTCGCCTCCTTTCCTCAAAACACGATCGGTGCTTAGAGCAGAGCCCCCCCCCCCTCCTCCCAACCACTCTCATCGCTGCTATGCTGTTTCCAATACCTGTTCTGGAAGGAAGATAAAAGAGGTTGCAGCTATTTTACCCGCCAGTTTTCAGACTATTGAGTATATTCTGGCACGCCAAGGCCAGCTTTCTTTCAACAATTTCAGGGAACGGTCGTGTAATGTGGGAAAACGTCCAGATTCTTTCAAGTTTTGTTAGCCTCACAACATTCTTATGATGTTTCAGTACCACACACATGCCAAGAGCTAACTTTGCATGGGAGAAATTCTGAGCAAGTTTGTATAAGGAAGTGCTATGTATGCATGCTCTACTTAACGAACGACTGACTGCCTAATTAGGGAGTTCATTCATCGACAATGCTTCCAGAACACTTGTGCCACAAGCAGCGCCAAGGCTAGCAGACTCTCAATTTAGAAACGGACCCCCTTACGGACCATTAAAGAGGTTTCTAGCTATTGTCTTTGCTAGGTCACTGACCTCGCACCTTTGTCGCTATTTACATGAACACTGGAAGAACACAGACTGGCTACTGAGCACCTTCCCACTACTGTCTCTAATAGTACTTCAATACAAAAAATCTGTTAGATTTAACATCGATTCTTACTTCTAATATCTAATATTTTAGGCTACTGTTACCTTGAGATAAATCTAATATGGTCAGGATAGCTACATGTTGAATTATTGTCAACGGCCACAGAAATGTAAGCCATCGGTCATCATTAGGTCAAGCTGGTCGCAGTTTGTCGGCTGATTATCTCAGTTTGCGCGTAAAAATCAACCGGGCAACGTGTACGCGATTAGAATAACGGGCAAGCAATCAATTACTGCCGATCATTACATTACGACACTTCACACACTAGATGGACACGGGACCTTGAAGGGGCTGGACTAATTAGCAAATTAATTTATTGCGTAATTACTCACACTGACACCGGTGTCATTTTTCACTCATCAGTAGTATGGCGCACATAGCCGTTACAGTCCTCGTTACCTTGATGGCTGTCGGATGATAGAATAGACTGAACGCTAAACTTCCATACGAGCACGACGACGAATAACAGCTGAGCTGGTAGACTTCTGCCAATCCCTTTCGTTTACTTACAGCAAAATTATGGGCCAAAAGCGCACGGACGCAAGTTCGCGTAAACACGCAGCAAACGAGATTTGTTTGCGTCTACGAAATTACGCGTTCAACTTCTCCCTCTTACTAATTAAGACCGTGTACCAGGACCTCATATTACGCTAACGCTGATCGTGAGACAACAAGCAGCATACGCTATTCGGTGCAACAACGCCTCCTCCTAGCCTACCCACCCACCAAATCGACCCAGAGATCTGCAAAGGAGACCACGTCTCAAGCGGCATGCAGCGACCGACATCCGAAACCGGTGCTCTCTCGCACACGCGGTCTCTACAGAGTGACGTGCCCCTTTTAAAATGATCCTTTGATCGGACACTGGCGCTGTTTCTCACCCCCTCGAAAGATACGCAGAAAACGAAACGCAAGAAAGGATATCAAAATAGCACGCCTCCAGAGAAATGAAAAACGCTGTTGGTCTGGAAATGCGGCGCAGGCACTTCAAAGCACACGACGAACGGCCACTGACCAGGTCGTATTGAATTCGAAAGACGGCTATTATTACGACAACAATGAGTTCAACTGTGGTATATACAGCGGGGCCAGCCACACCAATCAGTGGCGCGCAGGACACACTCTCTACCTTGGCGAGGTTCAATTGAATTGCGGCCATGATCGGTCCATTGTGTGCACGAAAAAGTCTCCACGCGAAATTTCTGAGCAAGCGGCTCCATTCGGCTCAGACGGATTTGCTCCGATTAGTCCAGGTTCGTACGCATAATATAAAATCAATGCAGCTGAATAACGATAATTATGCATACAGCCTCACGCAGGAATACGAAAACAGCGCGCGCTCTCTCTCTCGCTGACTGTTGTCTAACTGGCTGCTATCGCAAAATAATCTAAATATAATCCTTATTTTAAGGAAAATGAATCGAAAGACTATAAAATTTCATCTTAGTCAGCAACATAAAAATCAAGATCCAATCTAAACATTTAGGAATAAATGCGTTCTAAAAAGAAACAGAATTTTTAATTGACATACAACTAACTGAAAAAACGCATAACGAAATTTGAACGAGAATGAGTGTAGGGTTATAACACAATAATTATGATAAGAATATTAAACCCTAAAGAATATTAATGAAATAAAAAATATTAAGAATTTTAACTATTTATTTAGCATTAAATGTCACCAACGTCAATAATAAACTAGAAAGGGCAGTTGTCGCCAACCTACAGTATGCTCCCCGCCGTGTTCTCCCAGATGTGTAAGCTATGAGAGTATATCGGCTCGCGCGGGTAGGTCAGATATTAACATCGAGGGTTGGCGCCAAAAAGTCATATAAAGAGACGCCGTCCATAGGTCTAGTTTTAATTAGAATTTGAACCCGGTTGTATGGAACGGTCAAGGTTAAGGTTGAATGTCCAGATTAAAGGATTGTGCCGAGTGAATTCTGTTTATTTCAGTTTAATGCTGCGGACAACACTGTTCGGTGCTCCTCAAGGATGTGTAAGTATTAACAATTAGATCCTTTATGTAGCGCAGGTCAATTCAGGGGCCGAGTTTAGCAAGGCGGACAATGAGAAATAATGATCAAGGTCAAAGTAAAGGTCAAATAAAGGTCGCAGTGACCTGGTTTTTCGGTATCGCTGACCTCACCTTTCTCCCCCAAGATGTGTAAGTATTGCTTGACCTTGACCTTAATCATATTTCCCTTCCGCTCTCTAACTCGGCCCCTAATTGACCTAGCGCTACCAAACTTGGTTCAAGGTCAAATAAAGGTTGCAGTGACCTGGTTTTGGTACTCTGCACACCTTCTCCCCAAGATGTGTAAGTACGCCAGGTTTGGTCACGCTAGGTCAATTAGGGGTCGAGTTATAGAGCGGAAGGAAAATTCTCTGCAGCGGACCGAGCGGCGGCGGCGGCTGGGGAGACATGAAACCATAGTAACCCCGCCTCGCGGGGGATACAATTATTTTCCGTATAAATGTCAGGAAGGAAATACAAGTTGTTTCATAACCCTGATTAACCTATATTCGTGTGAAGGGTTTTCTAACCAGGGCAGGTCCCAATCCTTTGTCATTAAAATGGCTAGACACAGCTATAAAATGCATCGCATTTCCCAGTCAGAAAGGCTATTAGACTTTGAATCACCACTAATTGCGCTGTAACATGAACGACAGGACAGTAACATGCAAGTAACAAGGCAAGAAATAACCATATATAAGCCGACTGATTACACACGGACCCAGCGCTTCCTGCCTGAGCTTTTCTCATCTCAAAAGCCCCAACATGACTGCTGTCATTTCAACTGTCACCGGTTACAATCAATGATGTCACCGACTCGCTACTATATATATATATGTCTCTCACTGTCAGAGCTCTCAATGGGGTGGTCTAATCAAACATGACTTGACGGAATGCAAGAACATGTACAATTCCCCTCCTCCTCCCCAACGAGTGTCATTCTTATATGCTCTCACTCCATCCACGGTTAGATGACAGGATTTCGTTGGTGACAACTATGGCGTAGAGATACTAGTTATGATGTGCACAGTGTGAACAGCCACTGTCACTGCATCTGCATAGATCTACTACTGCCCGCAGCTTCTGGTGTTCTGTCAGTCGTTACTTAATACATTACTGCACATTAGAGTGACGTAATCACCTGTACCTTTATCCAGCTATTAATCTTCGACCAGACACACTGGTAATGGACACGAGTAATGGAGCGTTTGTCTCGCACTGACTTCCTACTCGATTCTAATTGATGGCCTATCCACAATTGGTGCCCGCTATTGCTGCAAGTGGTCAATGACCAGCGGGCCTAATGAGTTTACGACCAGTTCAAGCTTGAGTTAGTGCTGTGCCGATTTCTATTTCACTCAGTGGCAAATAATGCCCAGCAACTTGCAGCAGCATGTGCAGACGCGCGCAACCGTCGTAAGGGAGTAACGCCCACGTTACCGCCCATGTTTAAAGTTTAAACAAGAGAGGAATCACTTACATAGTGGTCAGACAAACGATTTCACAATAAATTAATACTTCTAAACAACGGTATAGCATATAAGCTATATAGCATATAACGAGCTAGTACAGCTTACACAACAGGCAACTGTCAAACTAGCATGAACGTGCGATGACAAGAATCAAGACAAAAATTAACTGAAATGCCCTTGATGGTGAAACTTACTTGGATGTTCTACAACCATGTTGGGTTGGATATCTTGCAGCCAACTATGAACACTTGTCATCATCAGAAGCAGTAGCAATGGAAACGATGACGTACACCTCACAGCCATTCCAAATCGTAGACAAGTCGCCATGGCGTTAACTGACGGGTGCTCTGAAAAATACATGAAAACATGGTATCCGAAGGTTACTGTGGACCCAATTGCTGCACAGATGATTGAACATTGTACATACGGGTTATACTTGTAAACGACTAGATACCACTGTTGCCAACGTGGGAAATTCATGGTGGCATGCATATTCTGAATATACCTCTGTGGTAATATAAAATATTATATCAAAGACAAAATCCCACACGTTAGACGAATAGGTGAATGGGTGCAGAGTAATTAATTCATTGCTAGTAGGTCTAAACCTGTATTACTGCATTATTCTAGCCTGTAGGGAATAACGCAGGGAATATCGCAGTGCAAAACTGTACTGCGTCTAGTAATCTATAATAATAATAATAATAATAATAATAATAATAATATATACGCTACAATATAGCTCTAGAATCATTAACGATTTTGTGATTTTGTTGTGAACAAATTCCCATAACCTGTCAGCATTCCCTGTTAGTTTCCTACTGAGGCTTTATTTTCTTGTAACAACACTCAGATGTATTTGACAATGATTAGACTTCATGCTACTTTTTGTTTTCCACGCGAGAGATCAAAGAGAAAATTGCACAAGCAAAGAAAACGTGTTGCTCGGCAGAGCTTGCATGGAATTTTGAAACAACAAACGTGCATTTATTGTGTGATATACCCGCAACAAGCTGCCGTTGAACAGTATTAAATTTGGTTTAATTATGCAAGCGCATTGAGAATTATTTTAGCAAAGAAACGATTTTAGCTACGCGTAATGGCCCACTGGCTATGTGATCCACCGCCTACATAAAGCTGTAACCTGACTATTCAATCTCCTGTAGCCGGAACTCAGGCGTGCAATTTAAATCCATACATAGTAACTTTAATGTGCTCAGAACGGTACGCACATACATTACTCGTTTTTTATTGGTGGTAGGGCGATGTTTCAGAGAGAATATGAATATTATGATTTAATGTGTCTGAAGCACAATTTCAACCATAGATAACTATTCTATACACAGATATGGATATCTTTGATTTCAACTGTCAGGGTTATACAGAGACATCTGCACCACATTGCGAACTGTATACGAATAGATACACACATTTTACATCTCGGGATTAAAATTTTTAATATAGAAGTCACTTCGAAATAGCGATGCAAGAAACGAAACCATTTCAATGATAGATTCGCAGTACAGCATGGGGGCAGCAAACGGGCATCTTAAGACTATTGAAGACACCGTGACTTGTTCTTTTGTGGCACTTTTATAGAGGCATTGCTGTGCGCTGTTGGTAAGGTGACGTAGCTAGCATATTTTCGTAGCATGCGGGATGATAAGACCTCTTTCTATGTTATGAGCTAGTGGATGCATACGTCCGCCGTTTACCGGAGCTACACAGGCGTAGTAGAATAGATGCAATGGCTATCCACACCATGGCAGAAATCGACACACGCAGTGATTCCAAATGACCATGCTGAAATGTGCAAGCTTGATGCACAATGCATTTTCGGTTCATTAGATCATGCTGTACCAGCATCATACCCTGTACTGTGTGCCAGTCAATCAGTAACAAGCCTTTGATCGAGAAACGCTAGCACATCAGGGTACTGCACCCACTAATTTGATAGAGAGGCACATGAGTCACTTGATGCAGGGTTGCAGGGGCCAATGCTACTATTGGAGGCACAACAGAGAGCTCTATTGTCACCGAGGTGTTTTTTACCACGAGGCTTGATTACCAACTGATCATGGTCCTTGACCAATTCACCTACTCATCTATTCCACTATTCAACGAGCCTATAGTGACCGGTTATTCTGAAACATTACACACACTCGTACGTCTGCGTCTTGCATGTGTAAATGCATCCGTTTGTAACCGCCTGTGTGCGCGCATATTATATGCATTTGCGTGTACTGTAGTAATGTGATTATGCGACCGACGACAGTCACTACGTGACTTGGAGATTTATAATAATCTGGTTAATCTAAAAATATATATAAAATAAGACTTTTGATTGAACTAGTCAATGCTTTGAAATTTTGACTCACTGCTCGTCTGTAACAAATGAACCTCAACACAGCACATCTTAAACTTTCATTCACGACTACAAAACATGTAGTTTAGGTGGACAAGAATAACAGAGTCTTGGCTCTCTACATTACTCACTGTCACACCTAGTGCTCCCCCCACTGTGAAAGCTGCTTAAAGGTCTTTCAAAACCAGTCTTGTGTGCCCATTTACTATTACCAACTAGGTTTGGCCAACAGTGATAGACTTCCCCAATGAATAGAATGACTGGTCAGCTGCCTTAGCACTAGCCTAGATTGATGGTCAGTATTGTATTACCTGTCTTTACTTTTTTTTTATAAGAAACAGGTCTTTGCTACAAACGTGTGCGCATTCGGGCACGCTAAATGTCCAAGTCTATTCTGGTGCCCCAGATTCGAAGAAAATAGAAAACCAGGGTAATATCCACAGCTGTACATGTTCCGGTGGCTATATACACTAACAGTTAAAATGTTACTTTGAACCCTCAGGTTGGGACTGTGGCCAAGGGATTGATTCTTTAGATTTCTGGTAAGGAAAGCATACTGTTAGGTTCGGTTATTTAAAGTGCAAAACATCAAATGCCTCTAAATTAGCATGAGATGGTGGGTCTATGGGGCAATGATTTCATACTTGAAACGACAGCAAGAAATCACATTTGTGTGATAAGAGTAATAACACGTGCTCTACAGGAACACAAGTCATGCATGTACCCCCTTACTGAAAAACAAGTCATACAGATAACAATAATTTACATATATGTAAAATGTATAATTAGCTTAAATTAGGCTATACCATAATATAGCACAACGAAGGGCCATCACAATATTTAGGTGGCTGTAAGTGTAACAGGAATGATATAAGAATCCTTTGCTCACTGCTTACGACTGAGATGAATTTTACTTGAAGTTGCAATGATCATAGTATACCGTGTTTTATATTATGTCATATGTCACGCCTACACCAGAATATAGTCTGGGCCGTTGTCCTAGCCGATTCTACAACTGGGCTCTAGACTATACTTTATGATCCCGGTACATAAATCTTTATCAACATCACCTTATCCATAACCTAACACTAAACCCTTGTCTAACCTCAACTGGCTTTACTATACAGTCGGAGGATTCAAGCTATATGCAACAATGTAAAGTAACTCCACATAACCTACTCTTGTGTTGGGTTACATGATGCTATCTTCGATCTTCAAGTTATTTCAACCCTAGCCCGATTAAGCTGCGAGACTAACGTCAATACACACATTTTACATAACGTTAATACATATGACGTTCGAAGTATTGCTGTTTTTAGAGCTCTGCCGGTGTAGCCCTTCACCATACGCCAAAGAGAAAAGATACAGCTAGGGGCCTGTGGCAGAGTGAATGATTACAACTCAACTGTAGGCCTAGCTCCAAGAAACGGTCTTGCTAGGTCTAGAAGACCATATGTATAGACAATCGGTCGCACAGCCTGGTCGGGCTACTGTACGCCTATTTTGTACAGAGTGGCTATATGCCCGGCCGGCCTATAATATCTGACGGCTGCCGGGCACAGTCTTCGATTTCCTAAATGCCCGGCAGTTTTTAATTTTCAGCGTTATCTCAAGTAAACAAGGGTTAGGGTTAGGGTTAGGAACTGCCGGGCATTTAGGAAATCGAAGACCGTTCCCGGCTGCGAATTTTTTTCTCCTACACGATATATCAAGAGTAGATAATAAGGCCCAAGGATAGAGAACATGGGTCCCAATAAAACCAATGTGTCTAAACCTAACCCTAACCCTAATTCTAACCCTAACCCTAATCCTAACCCTAATCCTAACCCTAACCATAACCCTAACCTATTATATTGATGTAATATTATATTTATATTGATGTAAATTACATTGGTTTTATTGGGACCCATGTTCTCTATCCTTGAACCGATAAGAACACTGTGTTATTATCTACTCTTGGTTATATCCATTGGGCTTGATATACGCATATCAACTTCCGCATCAGACTTTCCGTATATCAAGGAGTGATGCAAAAATCCTAACCCTAACCCTAACCCTAACCCCTAAGACAAACTCCAACCCGAACCATAACACTAACACTAAACCGAATTGGCTTATAAGTTATAGTTATATACTATCTATGGTATCCCAAACACTATCTATGGTGTGGTCAAATCAAAGCAGCCAATCAGAGGAGCCTAATGGATATAACGTGTAAAAAAAATTCGCTGCCCCCCCCCGCCTGCCGAGCATATAGACACAGCGTATTTTGTAAGACCCTGTGTGTTATTGGATTAAGATTAGAATTGTGTTATGGGGTACCGTATACCCCAAAACCGTAACACCAATGGTTACTGCAACACGCAAACACTAATTATAATTCAACTCTAGCAAGCCTTGTAGTCGAACGCCACTACTCACTAATCTCGTCGCGTAACAGTCTGTGATGGTAACACTGAAATGACTTTCTCAGTCTTATTTTGAATAATACTAATAGACAATCTGTGGCGAAGTAATTGACGTTATTGCTTCAGCACCACAGCACAACTTAAATTAAAACATTGAAAACGATATTTACCTTAAATTATGTATATATCCACAAGTTATATCCACAATGAAACTAAAACATGAGAAGAATCGACAACACATAAAGCTTGTTTACGTCTGTAGTGTGTAGTCCTTCTCATTCCGTGCGTGGAGCGAGCCAACGACTGTTCTCTCAATTTCCAACAGGCACCGCCATTGGTTAGGCGACAGCCAATCATCGATGTCTGTGTAGCCATGCGCGCTGATTCCCTTGTGGGCGGAAAAACACATTTATACGCGAGTCTGGTTCAAGCATTGCACAGTCAGGTCCGTACGCAGCAAGTGTGCAGCAGGGGCAGTTGCCCCCCCCCTAGAGATTTTCAGAGTATGCCTTTTAATGGGACAAGTACTGTACACTTTTAGAAATAAAATAGAAATGTGACAAAAGGTTACCGGTATCTTAAATCATCAAATAAATATTACACTTTAAATAAAGAAATGTGAAATTGCGAAACGTTAGGGCACAGGGGGCATGGGGAGTATCTTTGCCCCGCCCCCCTACAGAAAATTTCCTGCGTACGGCCTTGTGCACAGTATATTCTTATACTATCTACCGACTCCGGTCTACCTATATCATTTCTATAGGTTCAAGACATTACGACGGCAACATAAGATGGTATAGCCGTGAATGCATATATCTCGCTACAATTGAGTTAATCTTATCCAGCTATTTCGGACCTTAGAACTTTGTACAACTTGGTACAAGCAATAGAAATATTTGCGATAGTTCGATTAGATCAGGAGCGTATAATGACAAATATTTGTATTGACAATGACAAAACATATTTGTATTGTAATGACAAAATATTTGTCATCTTACGCTCCTGATTAGATTAATATACTTGATTATGGCTATAACCTATTTGTTGATCTTTCCCGTGTATATATTTCCCTATTATCTACTCATGATATATATATATATATATATATACATATATATATG